ACACCTCCAGGGACGGTGACTCCACCACTTCCCTGGGCAGTGCATCCCAGTGCCTGAGCACCCTCTCTGTGAGGAAGTGCTTCCTCATATTGAACATCTGAGATCCATCAACTTGTCTCTTCAAAAGTCCAGGTCGTGATCACTTGTGATGAGACTCCAAGTGCCTGTCTGCAAATTGTGAACATGGGAATTGGCCAATTCTGAACATGGGAATTTGGCTCCCTCAATTCTTAGCAGTCTACTTAAGGTTATTAAAGAAAGCTTCAGGGTTCCTAAACATTCTGCACAGCTTCCTCAAGTCCTCAAATTCAAACTCACCTTCTCCACCTGTGGTCATTTTACAGTAACATTCAGTGGTTACGCAAAAAAAATCTCAGCCCAAACCCAAAGTATTTCCCCACAGAAATAAACCCTGTCAATAAAACAGGCAATCATTTAACACTAACATGAGGTCTCAGCAGTTTTTACAATTCCATACTACCATTTATGCATATGTAAAATGCAATAATGATTATGTTTCTCAGCATAAATTTTTGCAAGAAACAAAGTTTAAGGCTTCAAATACATGCAACTGTTCTATGCACTAATGATTCTGTTTAGAAGACATCAAACCAAAAAGTATTTAAGCTCACCTACTGATAGAAGCCGCCACATAACAGCGGGGGTGGCAAAGCAAGCAAAGACATCGTCAGTGCAGGCAAAGTGAGTGAGGTGGGGAAGGATCACGGACTGCCCTCGGCACTGGCCCCACATGTACACCTGGCCGCTCTGGGTCTTGGCAGCCGATGTGTGAGCGGAGTGGCAGGCTGCAATCTCTATAACTCTGAATTTACAAGCAAACAAACAAACAAAAAAAAAAGCAAGTCACTCTCATAAGAATAAAATGCGGTGAAGCATGCATGCTACCTCTGGTGTAAAACATATTTCTAAGCACATGTGCACTTGCAAGACTGTTTTCCAATCATAAAGAGCAAATTTAAAAGGGCTATCAACATTTCTTCAAGCAGTGTGTACTCAGAAAGTCCCTCAGTGAAAATGCATTTTGGGAGTGAGGAGACACTGTTGTAGCAGAGCAATATATCTCCTGCAGCACACGCTCTACCGACCCCCTCAGCTCCCTCAAAAAAAGCTATGGTGAATTTCACTTTCTGAATGTCCTCGGTGGTGGTGGGCAGTGAGGTGAATGGCTGCATTAAGCTGTAGAGAATGGGCACTTGGAGAAGATAAAGAAAGAAATGAGGAGGCATTTTAAAAAAAAAAATAAAGGAATTTGTATCTTGGCTTATAAGCAAAAGTTAACGAAAAGGTTTTTCCAACTTTTTACTGGTAACAGTTATAAACAAACAATTTAAACACAGTTCTTGTAATTAAAATACTGAAGTGTCATTACTCACACAAGCATATAATGGACCTTTATTTTGAAAATTAAAAATTAGAACCAAACAGTACTAAAAGCTGTTTCTAAGTGTATTTCAGCTATGCTAGGCTATCTCACTAATCCTAATGTTTCAAAACTCCCACCATGTACCAACATTACACAATTCACTGTTTTGCAGTCTGAACTACTGCTTGTTAACTTGTTTTCCCAGCTGCCTGGGGAAAATAGCTCAGAAACAACTTGTTTAAAGTTGTATATACAAATCTTGTAGGCTTTAGCGAGGTAATATTCTCACTGACACCAGGAACACATATTCTGGCCAGCAAAATGGAAAGGCAACACGCAACATTAAAACTTATATTAAAAATGTGGTAACATTTTAACTGTAGCCAAAGTGCCTGGAAAAAAAATCAGTTATGTTTTAAGCAAAAGGACAAACACACATAGAGAAATAGCAAAGTTTAAAACCAGGCCATGTCTCATCACCAGAGAGGAGTTGCCTCTTCTTTACAACAGTGTACATTGACAGAAGCTTAAGAGGGACACTTATTCACAACAGGAGGCCAAAATCAAGACCTCAGTTGTAAGGAATAGATTCAGATTTCTGGCCACATTAGCAAAAGAAATAACTGCCCTACTACCCATTAATGGTTTACAGAAAAATATTTAACTTAAGCTTAATCTTCATGCCACAATATCAAGAAAGAACTCCTCCCTTTCTCTCTCTCTTGGGTTATGAGCTGGATTTAATAGTAGAAATAATTCAAATTGCAGATGTCCACTCTTCACTTCTTCTGTGTGTGCTTCTTGTTACAAGTAGCATATTAAAATATAATTTATATTCAGAGACAATAAAGCTTTTATTGTTGACTTCAAACAATGAAACTACACGACTGAAGAGAAACTGCAATTAAAGCCTATAAAGTACAGTGTGAGCCAAAGCAGAAGATAGCACATTCAGGCTCAGAACTTTCAGTGTAAATTGTCTTCATATTTAGCAGAAGAAACGGTGTAAAAAATACATTAAAAATGCCATAATTTTCTGTAGCTCTTCTGAGAGTACACCAACTAATGTCTGAGTGCAAGACCATATTACCTGTCTTTATCCACAATAACTGTTGTAGGGTAAGACTGGTTGCTTTTATTCCCAGTACCTAACTGGCCATATGAATTGGCTCCCCAGGCGTAAATCTGACCTTCATCTGTTAGCACTAATGTATGTGCATAGCCACAGGCAACCTGTAAAAGGAATAACAAAAAGAAAAATCTCATTTTTATGTGACAGTAAATTAATACAGATAGATACATATTGTGCTATAAGTTAGTGTTATTGATTCTATACCAGTGTAAAAAATTACAAGAAAAAATACAAATACAGATAAGCTTATTAAAAAGGGAAGCAAACTAGATGAGGTGACTTTGAGAGAAAAATTTATCAGCGAGGAACCCTGCCAGATGATCTCAAGAGGACAGGTAAAGAACAGCTAGAAACCGAGAAAGGAGGAAAGCTCTATGACAAATGTGAACAGTATACAGAAAAAAATGCAGAAAAAAGGCAGATCTGTCTTGCACTGACCTTGCTCCATGGGCAACTGCTCCAAGGTGAATAGTTTACCATCGCAAAATCAGGGAAGGTCTCCCCATCTGCTCCTCTCCCCTCTGTCTGACAGCCACACCAAACTGTCCCCTCCCTGCACCAGCTCCAGCACTCACCAGACCCTCTGATAACTTCCACCACTGGAATTAATTCCGCTATTTAATGGATATCAAGTGAATTAAGTGGATGGAAATAGGATCTGAGTCAAACGTACTGGAGCACTCACACTCTCTGAACAGGAGAATAAATATAGGGGAAAATAATATTAATTTTCTTATGTTATTCTCCCACAGCAATTGTTACCAAAGCTACCGTCTACATCCTAGGAACTGAATGTAAAACTATGTAATTAAACGTGTTTATCTTAAAAGATTTAGGAAAATCCTAACTTCCCTAAGTAAGTGTAATAAATAGGATCCCAAATTCAAAACACTTGTAAATTTTTACTAGGTCACAAAACCAATGTTTTCTAGCAGAATGTGTCATTTTCCTGACAATATCCTCTATTCTGGATAAATAGAAAACTTTCAGTAACAGTTCAGTAGTTACTTTAAATATTTTTTATTAGCAAAAAGAAATTATGAGTTTGCTAGTTACACTGACGGCAGCCCAGCTATTTAGTAAAGTGTAATAATCACCCAAGATCAAGACTAACCATGGAATCACACCAACTGCTGACCAAAAGCAGTTGGAAACAATTTGTTCAGACTCTAAACACCAGTTAGTCACTGTGTAGTGCAATTCTAAAAGCAGTATTCAGTCCATCAGAAAGACAAATTGCTGAAAAGAAAGAGGGGGGTTAAAGAAGAATGGGGTAGCCTATGAAGGTTTCCTTATTTACTAAAGTTTGGTTTTAATTAAGTTTCACAAGGGAAAAAAAGACCAAACAAAAAAAGACCAAACAGCTTAGTCCTCTTTAAGTAAAAATCCTGACCTCACTGAAGTTAATGGCAAAATGCCCACTTGAACTCCACAGGGTCACAGTTTCTCCCTTGCTGACAGAGGCCCGTTTTAAGATGTGTGTTTTCCATTCTGATAATCAGTGCTTTGAACAAAGAGATAAAGGACTACCTCCTTTAAACGCAGACCACGCCTTAGCGTATTTTCAGATGTTCCTAAAGGGTTTGACAGGGAGCAGCTCGCACATACCCGCTGTACGCGAATGCCTTGCAGAGCCGCTATTCGGCATGGTGTCGGCTGATTGCCGCTGCTGCCCAGTCCCAGCTGGCCGTTACCGTTGTAACCCCACACGTAGACCTTGGAAATAAAGAGAGGGATTTTAACTGTTTGCTACTAACTACTTCTTACAAAAGCAATGCAACTCCTTCAGAGTTACAATAATAACTGTCTTCAGTATTTCCTGTCCCCATACCTTGGGGTCTGTAGTTTGTATGTAGATACACATAAACGCACACACATGTATACATACCGATATGAAAGTACATATATACACAAATATCGTAGAATCATAGGATGGTTAAGGTTGGAAGGAACCTTGAAGATCATCTAGTTCCAACCCCCATGGTGTGGGCAGGGACACCTCTCTCCCACTAGACCAGGTTGCTCAAAGCCCCATCCAGGCTGGCCTTGAACACTTCCAGGGATGGGGCATCCACAACCTCCTTGGGCAACCTGTGCCAGTGCCTCACCACTGTCATGGTGAAGAATTTCTTCCTTGTATGTGTATGTACATACACATGCATTTTTATGCACTTTCAGATGCTGCTTTTGTTTAGAATACCGACTGCATGCCCATCTGAAATTCTAAACTTCCGTATTCGCGTTGCTCTTTAAGAGTTAGTTTACGTAAGACTACAATATTTTATTATGAAGAGTAGAAAATAAGTGATTCATACGGCTGTTTCCCAGCACATTCAGCATGAATACTTCCCTTTTTCAAAGAGCTAGCTCCTTGTTCAAAAATCCTCTAACAGAAAAGAAAAAACACAAAACCAAGTATGAAGTGGAAGCTATGACAACAGTTTGAGTAGGCTGTTAACAGCTTTATGCTGAACATAAGAAAAAAGGAAAATACTGAGCTTTAACAATTTCAGTGACATATGTTCTGCTGCAAACAGTCCATAACTGCTTCGTTCTAAACAGAAATTCTTGGAGTGATGGAGCCTGAGAGGATGTAGGCTGCCCAAAATCTTCATACAAAGTAAACCACTACAACTACTTCATATCTTGTCAATGAGGATAAAGCATGATTCAAGGGATTCAAGGGGTACTGCAGGAGAATAAATATATGCAACACACTTATTTTCTCTCTTTTCTCTTGAGATAAAGTGTGCATATACGAGCACTGAAAATTAAAATAGCATTCACTGACAATATTATAGAAAATATTTTATTTTTCTGTAAATGCTAAAGACAGCAGTGGGATAATGTATTAATTAGCACTTTTGGTTTTGCTAGAATCTAATATCAGCTCTAAAAAGTCAGTAAATTAGTGATACAAACTTTGTTATTTTTATTTTATGAGAAAACTAACCCAGCACGAAATGCTACATATATATATATACTTGACATGATCTAATCCCCGAATTTACAAAAATCTCCTGACCTTCACAATGCTATTTTTACTTCACAAGAGTTTTTTCAAGCAAATCTGAAATTTGATACTTGAATTCTTTTAACTCAAAGCCAACTTTGGCAGTGGATACAAAGTAACGGCTGCTAAACTTTAGGCATAATCTCATAAACAAAAAAGCCATAACCCAAATGTTAGTGAACACCCCTGTTTCACTGCACCTCCTTTCTAAAGGAGAAACCATAACAGCATGGATAGGAAGATGTGCTTAAGTATGTCAGAATGCACAGGACAATTTTGACAAAGGTTTTTACAACTAGCATAAGCTGGTAGTTTGAGAGACTCTGGAAAGGTATATTTCTTCTCTGAGTAGAAGCTCATTACTGACAAGTTTGAAATGATCTGCATCACGTGATATTACATAAAGTAAAATCCAGTCCGAAAATTCACTTAAAATTTCTTACCTCTCCATTTTCCACCACAGCCATGGAGCACATCTGTCCACAAGCGATATTAACTACTATTTTATTTTGTAGGCAGCTGGTAACTCTTCGAGGAATAGGCTGATTAGCTGTCGAACCAGATCCAACTTGGCCTGAATTATTATAACCCCATGTGTATACCTGTTGCAAGAGAATTGCCATAAAAAAGGCTGCAAAACATACAGTTCAAAGTATATATTCAATAGAAGAAAAAAGTTAAACGCATTAAAAAAATTTTGAGTTTAAGTGAACGTATTTTTTTAAAGATCTCAGAAGATACATAGATCTACAATTTAATTGTTTCTGTCAAAAATATGTCACTCGTAATATTGACATATGCCTCTCTTTTAAGTTCCTCCAACCAAAGGTAAGAGGCAACATGACAGTTGCATTAATGCTGGAAGAATCCAGTGCTAGTTTTCCAGAACCCAAACTCAAATGGCCAACTGGACACAAATGGCACCTCAAAGTAAATGACAGAAAACTTTTTACTCTGGTGGGCAGAACTCCTTACATGAACGTGATTTACATTAATGTCGGCTTTAACAGCATTAAGCATTTACAGTAGAGTACAGCACAGGAAGGAACCAGCTGCCCACTACAAAGAACTTACGATTTGTTATTACAAGCAGATGTTATTACAAATCAATGTTCTGCATGTACTTCAAAGCAGTTAGAACCTACCACGTTTTCCATTTGTATCAAACATTCGTGTTGCATCAGCACTGTGAGAACAGCAAGAAGCAATGTCTAATGCTCTAGGTGCAGAAGGTTTTCCTGTTTCGCATAGACATGATTTTCATTAAGACAAAAGACAGATTTATTCCAGCTATTCTCACCTCTCCATCAGATGTTAACACCATAGAATGATGAGAGCCACAGGCAACTTCAATGACTTTCTTGTTCACCAAGTTAGTAGAGACTTGACAAGGAACGAACCCATGATTTGTTGTACCATTGCCCAACTGACTGTATGCGTTATGACCCCACGTATACACTTCGCCTTCTATAATAAAAATGTAAAAAGTTGCTTTAAAATCTCTGTTTTTCCAATGAGTACACAACATAAAATTACAAGATGAAAGATCAAATAAAATAACAATATACATATTTAAGTACATATATATAATGCCCTTTGGGGCTCTTAAGTCCATAGACATACCAATGCTACCTTCACATAGAGGATAGTGTCGTCATAATCTTAGTAAAGGAAATTACACAGCTAACAGAAAGGACATGGTGCAATATAGGAGAGGAAAAGCCGAAATGACAGCCAGAATTCCTCATTTCAATTTCTTTCAATTTCAATTTCTTTGTTACTGACACTCACCAAAATTTCTGGTCTATGCCCTAGAACTGTTTCTCACTTTGGAAAATTCAAAAAACAAGATTTCATTCCTTTACAACATACATGAAGACACTTGTAACAAAAAATTATTACTACTTATTAATAAATATACTATTACTATTTAAACATACTATTCACATCCTGCATTTTGAGAATCATGCTAGCAAAATTAAGAAAGCAAGAAACGTCTGACTGGGTTAGACCGATGGTCCACCTAGTACAAAATTCTGTCTCCAACTGGCAAGAGAAGAAAGCTCTTGTTTAATGCAAACAAGAGCCTGGTCCCTTTTTCCAGTTCCAAAGCACTGTACTCACTAGAGTACAGATATTACCAGGTACTTCCGATTCTCTTTAATGTACATATATTGTCCCGTTATCTACAAAGCCAACACTTTTTCATACTCACTTCCCTTCATCTGTTTCAAATCAAGTGTCCTCCAGCTACATTACCGCACGACTTGACAAATAGCTGTCCTAATTTCATTTTGTCTATCATCATCATTTTCTAAACCTAAATTATGCCGTTATTGCAGGAGAGCTGGGTTTGACCTACATCTCCATCAGATTTCTAAAGAGTTCACCAAAGTCCTTATCCCTAAGAAGGGGTCCATCAGAACTGCAAAGGCAAAATGTGCTAAACCGGTATTCTTCTACACTAACAGGTTAAATTAATAATTTTCTCTCATCAAAGCAAACAACCTTCTCTTCACTGCACCAACACGATAATACAAATTTGAATAAAAGGGGAAACAGCCACATGAAAAACACACAACGTAAACCACAAATCATAGTAATCGACACAAGAATTGTGAAATACTTAACGGATCTCAAAAGGTAGGTTAAAAGAGGCTGTGCTGAATGGAAGTTATTCATGTGAATGGAGTTATGAGTAAAAATATCAAGGATCAGTTCTGGATATGTTCTCTTCCAATACCTCAATTTATAATCTGGGTAAGGCGTTTGAGTGTGTCAGTGAGATCCGCCAGCAACAAAGCTCAGAATAATACAGCTACATATAGAAAAAGCAGCCAGAATGGTCTACCTTGAAGAGCAGAGAAAATGGTGGAATGTAATTGAACATAAAGTGTCACACATTGACAACACATTTTCCCTCATCTACCTTCAGTCATTTAATCTCAACTACTCAAAAATATTTCTTCTCATCAATGGAGAGAGATAGACGTCAACATCATCAGTCACGTTCTAACAGAACCTCACTGGGAACACAGTATTAGTCATTTGTCTTCAAGAATAATGTAGTTAACTATGAACAGAAGGCCACTAGCATGATGTGGATAATAGTGTCAATGAGACAACAGAAAACAGAATGCTAAGAGGCAATATAACCAGTCTTTAAAGCACATCTAAAAGAAGGTATAGGTGCGAAAAGATGCATTTTAGCTAAAGGACAATGTTGGCACAAGAACATATAGGCATGATGTAGCCACTAACGGTTTTCAAAAGCAATCAGAAGTTCCAAACTTAACTGGAAAACTTCCAAAAGTAGTAAAAGGTCAAAGTAGAGCTTGAAAAACTTTTGAAAAGAACTAGCAATGCACAGAGCTAGCTGACATGTCATGTTTACCAATGAAAAGACATTGGACTTGACAGCCCCGAATGTCTATCCCAACTCTCTTTCTTGTTTTACCAGCACAGACCTTTCACACCTGCTAGACTAATTAAAGTGGACTGAAAAAGCAGTATTGAGATCATACTTTACCTTCTGTAGCAAGAACAACATGGGGGCCACTTCCATAACTCAGACAGGCTATCTTTTTGCCACACAGAGAATCTATCCTCCTTGGTTCAATAGTGCTCTGCATGTCACCTGTTCCCAAACACCCACTGCAGTTCATGCCAAGCACAAAAACCTGTTATAAAAGAATCACAGAATTATAAATCATGTTGGAGTGGAGGACCTCTTCCAAAGGGCAATCAGTCCAACCCCCTGCTCAACATAGGTCTGAATAGATCAGTTGACTCAAGGTCATGCCCAGTCAAGTCTTGAACAACTCCAAGGAAAAGACCTCACAAGCCTTCCAGGATTTAACCATTCCCATGGTATTTTTTTTTTTCCTAAGGCTGAACTTGAATTTTCCATCCTCCAGCTTGTGTTCATTGCTTCTCATCCTGTCACTATGCACCTTTGAGAAATGTCTAACTCCATCTTCATCCTCTGATTGTGGTATGAAGCCATTTATTTGAATTTAAAATACTTTATTAGCAATGCAAATGATCACACATTTTCCCATGCATTTTTTTCTAGGTTTCCTATCATATTAGTGGCTTTCAGAATAACTTGTGCCATAAATGATTAAATATGTCATATTCATACGGACTCTTGGACAATTACCTCATCATTTTCAGTTGCATACAACACTTCGTTACCGGCACTGCCAAATACACAGGCTTGACGAATTAATTTGAGTTCTTCTTGGGAACAGAGAGAAAAAATTGGCCATTTCCCAACATCAAGCATCTTCAGGGCTGATAATAATGTTGCTTCCAAAACCTGATATCACAAAAAATTACATCAAATACCTAGACAGAGAGAAATGTATACCTTTGCACAGTAAAAAGGAAAAATGTAGAGAAACACTACCATCTCCCTTTTCTACCACAAAACCATAATTTTAATCCCACAACAATACTAGGGAGGAAGCCATTAAAATAAAATATATCATGATCCAGAAAGAAAGGATCATATATGGAGAAAAGTACCATGTAAGAAGTCAAATGGTGAGGTCATGTTTTCACTATATTCACACAACATAATTGCTAGCTTACAGAATTCAACGTACAGGATTCTAATATAGAGTGTAAAGTATGCATTCAAAACTTGAAAATAATTCCTCTGGTGCTAAAATCACTGCTAAAAGAAGAAACTATATGAAAAATCTGCCCAAAAACATACCTGTCTTTAAAATATGCATTCAAAACTTGAAAATAATTCCTCTGGTGCTAAAATCACTGCTAAAAGAAGAAACTATATGAAAAATCTGCCCAAAAATATACCTGTCTTTAAAAAACATACACATTCGTTTTCACATATTGAATATGAAAATTTTAGAAACTTTATCCTTTCTCACTTACTTCTGAAATTTACTTCTGTGTTTCAACAATTATTGAATCTTTGACAACTTCCTAAGAATACCCGCATTTTATGTAAGGAGGCACAAAATAAAAGGAAAGAGATAATTGAACACTTTCCAGTTTGTCAGAAGACCAACGACAAGTTTGTAGTTAAAGCAAAAGAATGTTAAGTCTCTCCAGACATTAAAACTAATCAAGCTAATATCTGAATCTCACGTAACATCTCTATTGTTTTAGTAATAAATCAGAAAAATGTTGCAGTATCAAAATTTAATAGCAAATTTTGCATCAAGCTTGCATCAGATTTCTTTAATGAAATTAAAACAGGCTCCGGACATGAAAGAAAAGCTGCGTTACTTGCCAGATCAGAAGGTAAAGTAAGAATAGATTTTTGTCTATCACAGGCAGCACATAGTTCACCACGTAACAGTGAGGACTGTATCGTTAGTTTATTTCTAGCAATTAGCAGACTTACAAAATGATCTGCTACAGAATATAACTTTTACTAGCTCTGACTGAAACACAGATATGAATAAATTCTAGTTTGGAGTCTAAAGCACGGTACGTCAGTTGTAAGGATATTGCTTATTTGATTAGTATCACTTACTATGAAAAAATGACAGAGGTAAATTAGAAATTACAGAAGTAAACCCTAAATTAATCCTGAATTAAAATCTTCAAACAAATAACACTTAATCACACATTTCTTTATAATATGGTTCTGTGGAAGGGAAAGTAGGGTTGGGTCATGTTCGCTAAAGAAAAGTTGTCGTTTCGATCACACCATTTCTTTCCCCATCTCCTCACACCAAGTAACTGACCAATTTCAGCCAAATTTGCAAGTGAAAGGAATTAAGATTCCACTGACACAATCCATGTGGCAGCAGGCAGATGGACAATCAGACACGTATGTTATGAAATAAGCCAGCGAACAAGTAGGTCTAAGCTAGTCCTAGCAAATGCTGTCCTCTGTGACACATACCAGGGTTATAAGAAATGAAGGACGTGAATCCATATGGAACGAGGCTTCTGCTGTTCGCAGAACAGTATGTTCCATGTCACGACGTTACCGTTAACGCTACAGAGGATTTTAGGCACTTTTAAAATATAGTAATGAATACTGAAAGCCTCACAGACTACTCTTCCAGTTGGATCACAAAAGCACATCCCGCTTTTGCTTGAGACTGATGAAGTGTGAGGTTTAAAAGAACAGTCAGGATGTCCTTCCATCGTACAGATTTCCCTTACTGGAATAACATATTGGTTTCTTTAAAATGTGGGCTCTAAATTCCAAGTGCACAGTGGGTCAGAACCTATTCAACTGAAATGGAATTGTATTTTTGTAATCTCCTTCTACAAAGCACTCATGTTCTATCCTCATAATTAACAGGTTAGAAAGCCCCAAACTGTAGCAATTCTTAAAACTAAAATAATACTCTGAAGGGAAAAAAACAAACTGCTACTATAGAAAACAACCAATGAATTTATGATATTGATTTTTTTTAAAACAAAAAGAAAAACAGTAAACTTGATCAGACTGAAAAATATCCATAATTTAAATCCTGTCTCTGAAATTATTAGTTACATTCAACTTGGTAAGGAATATTCTCTCATCTTTCAAGATTTTCTCCCCTTCCACATCTCTCCACTATATTTTGTCCCCCCTAAAAGGAAAAACAGCTTGACTATCAGCATGCCAATATGCACATCCCATAGGTGATCCGTTCCATCACTGTATTGCACGAAGTCATGAAAGACAAGAGTCAGACCAGAATTTTAGATTTCACATGGTCCATCTACCTACCCCAAAGGTGTATCGCACATGCTTCAAGAATTCCTAAATCTCCTATGCTTCATTTGACCTCAGCAATCAGTTTGAAAGCTGGTTATTCAGTTTTATGTGTCATACAGATCACCTTAACAGGCATCATCATTAAGCTCAAAATCTGAATGATGTTTCACATGCAAAGCATTCAAAGAAAATAGAAAAAAGTTTTTGCCTCAAATTATGCTACAAAAGTTAATTCTAGTAAGTTTATGTTGTTGAAATATGAGGCTAGAACATGTAATCTTGTAAGCCAAAGGAGCAATTCAACCGAATTAAAATTAATATATTGTTCTCCTAATATTTTGTAGAATACATAAGCAACACTTGTTTTGCTAGTATCATTTTTCTACCTATAGCTTTGATATTCTGTTTGAGAGCTACTAACATGTACTGAGCTACTACTAAACGGAACCAAGCATTTTCCTCTTGAGTAGAGCAGTAGGGAATTCTCAATGCAAATTTGCACTCTGACCTTGACACTGACTCCTTGAGAAGGAGGAGAGTCATCCTCCATATGGATTTGTGCTTCTGTCACCCTGCAGAGAGAGAACTGTGGTTAAAATCACCATATTGTATTGCTGCAACAATACTTCATGGAACTACAGACACTTAATATTAAACTAGAACTATCTGCTTCTGTGCGGTGGGAAAACAAGAAACACAAAGTTCACTCAGTTCTGGTTTTATATTTAACTGCAGTGATCAGTTAGACAGACTCTGCTCTTCTGTATTCTTCCCTAAAATAGTAACTCTTCAACAAAACATTTTTTTAAAGAAACAAGAGGTAAAATTAGTCAGACTGTGATTGGATTGAACAAGAAGTTTCATTAAATACAATACTCCAATGTCTTTTTATTAGAGTACAATGATATACAGAACCTTGCTGATAAAATTTTTCAAGACATTCCTTTCAGCAAAGAAAGAGCATACTGGTCAAAGCTTTCAACTTCTGGCTTAAGCCTTCAAATGCTTTTATTCCAGCTTCGTTCTGAAAACCAATATTAGAAAAACACTGTTGTCTTTTCAGGTTTACTAAGAATTGTTAAAATATTCACTCTGCTCCAAAAAGTACTGCCAACATTGTAAATTACTTGTATAGTTTCTATCACGTACATTATCAACAGATACAGATTTTCAGATCTTCACAAATAAACATGCACAACTCTACTATTCTTTAATTACTTCCTAACATAAAGCCATGCAACCCCATTTTCAGCGAAACTGCAAAAACGAGCAAGCAGCTCCGAAGCTATGCAAGCTTCTTCTACTCAATAAGTGAGAAAATTATATGCATCATTTTCTTTGAGGTACATTGATTCAGCCAATGCTAAAAATCTGTTTCTCTTTCACATTAAATGACTGCAAAATTCTGACTACAGGCAGAATAACATCCAACACAAAGATACCATTTTTCATAGTTACTTTTCAGAGGAATGCCACACTAAAAGAAATATCAAATGTAGCTTTATAAAACTACCTAACTTACTACTAAACATGTTTCCTATGTCAGATCTCATACCATAAGACCTAGGCCAAAGAGAAAGAGCACATGAAATTCATTATCTAAATACTATAAAATGTTAACGGTTTAAAAATTAGAATTTACTAAATAATGTTTTTATTATTTAAAAAGAGTAAAAAACCAAATAATTGCTACAGCTCAACTACACTGAATATGCACTGTTAAGCATACACCTTAAAAAACTCCACAAATCTACACACACACACAGAGTATTTTATACACTTACTTCAGAACATTAAATGATAAATTCAACCCATATATCAAAGTCCAGCTACTCTCTGGCCCTTGTTGACTTTAAGCTTAAAGGTCATGCACATAACCAAACCGAAATAACTTCGAGCTAAGTTATACTCCTTTTCAAGGAGGAAAAACTAAGGGGCTGATTCAGTTGCTCACACACTAATATCGATTGCTGAGATGTCCTTGGAGATCCCCAACATCGAACATTGCTGCCAAATAAAATCCAGGACCCATAGGGTATCCAGGCCATGCTGGATCAGCAGCTAAGAACTAAACAGCCCAAGACAGTTAACACATGTGCAGCTGAGCAGAGCCCTGGAGAAGCAGACATCACCATTTATCACGCTTTAGCACTTAACAGATACAGGGTAACTCGGTAAGCTCTTGCTCTTAAGCCATCTGTTATTCTCTTATTTTCTTCAACATACTTACCCATTCAAACACCATGAATGCAGCCAGTTGATTTGGTGTACATTATCTGTATTTAAAGTAGAAACAACTTGCCTAATTAAGGCCTTTGGTCAAAGGTTAGGGCTGGGCTAGCCAACAAACAAATGATGGAAGCTCTCTATTAACCCCACTCCCTCCCCAAATGGGAAGAGAAAGGGAATAAGGCAGAGAGATTGATGGATTGGAAAAGAAAACTAAAACAGGAAATCATGAAATACATACAAATATATAGAGAACCAACATTCAGTCCCACTCCTTCCAGCCCCAATAGCAATCCCCATTGATGCTGCAGAGCAGGTGGCACCTGGGCAGTCCCAGGCTCAGCGGCAGTGGGGAGCTGGGTATAGGAGCCAAATTTGGGAACTCAGGTTCAAAGGCAGAACAGAGTCCACCTTGGAAGCTGGCCACCCCTGTGATCCCTCAGTTTTATACTGAATACGATGTATATGGAATGGAATACTCTTGTTGGTCACCTGTCCCACCTGTTCCTCCCCACAAGTATGACCCTTTACTTCCTTCTGACCCTTTTTACTTCCTGGCACCTCCAGCATGGCACACAAGATCTAACAGTGGCCTTGGTTACTGCAGGAGCAAGCATAAGCAAGAGCCTTTCTGCATACCAATCCTTGGTAGCAACTGTAAACATCAGGCCTTACCACTGCTAGTAGCAGACACTGTCTGCAAAACACAGGCTGTTAACTTAAGAAAGTGCAGCCTCCTAGAAGAGACTCAGCTGAAAAGTATAATCACTGAATAGAATTGGTTCTGTTTAGTTCAAACCAGGACAGACATGACAACGGCCTGAGCAGGACAGTATTACTCACCTGCAGTTGTGAAACATTTAATTCTAAGTATGTGAATAGCCATTCCGTCCCCATGTGTTGCCTGATCTAGTCGAGAGGTGGCGTCCCTGGTGACAGGGAGGCTGGATTAAAATGATCTCTAAGGTCCCTTCCAGCTTAGGCCATTCTATGATTCACAAGCCCCACTGTGAAACTGATTATGAAGGCTCTCCAGTATTCTGCAGCATCAATTTTCAGTGCTCATATCTGTCACTTGCTTCTTGGCCATCCTTAGCCTAAACTTAGTCTACAAAGCTGACACGTCCCTCAAGAGAATAATTATTAACTATGAATTTTGCAATTTAAATAAATTTAAAATTGTGCCTTTCCTTCCTCAAGCCATTTGATACATAAAGCATACCCACAATTCTTCAAGTTCTATTATTTCAATTCTATTGCTTTTGTTTAGACAAAATCACAGAATCACAGAATGGCACAGGCGGGAAGGGACCTTAGAGATCATCCAGTCCAACCTCCCTGTCATGGGCAGGGACACCACCTCTCGACTAGACCAGGCAACACATGGGGACCGAGCGGGAATCGAACCTGCGACCTCGGTGTTGTCATCGTTGTCAGTACCGCGCTCAACCCGCTGAGCTAACCGACCCCCCTAAAGCACAGTTTGACTTTAAAAAGTTTGTTAGTATAAAGAAAGGTACATCGGGATCTAACCACCTCAGTTACCTAACAAAAGGTTCTCTAGTCCACTACTTTGCAGAGTCCCACAAATATGCTGACAGTTTTGCCCTCATTTTTCAAGAAAAAAAAAGATGATTTACTGCCCTCACAACTCAAACGTTATAGCATGTTTCATCTTATCTATAACAAAATTACCCTGCAACTCCATCCCTCAAGCTGCAGGGATGCAGCCCTATCACAGTACATGAGATGGCTCCAATTACACCTACTTATTTTTTTATTCAAACGTATGTATTCTAATAAAAGTAAATACTGATTGCCACACGTCTGCATCTGCAAAGGTGCTCTTTCTAAAAGCCCATAACTGATTTAAGAGTACATAGTCACTCTGGGATCCTGAAATTAAAGACAGACAAAAAAATATTATTAAGTCTAAGAATCATGCTTAGACTAAGAATAATTTTTATCTGTATACCTTTAAAATATGTATTTGCCTACTCACAGGAATTTTCCCTGCAGTAAAATAACCACTGTATGCCCAGAGTGAAGCAAAGAAAAAGCATTTTTAATCAAAAATTAAAAGATAAAAACCTGTATATTTGAGTACTTCAGGTATAGAAGAAAAACACCCTAGCTATTTCAGTCAAGTTACTGGGGTTACTTATTTACTAGATCTTATAATATGCATATAGTCAATGAGAAATCTTACTTTAAAATGGCTACCCATTAAATTTTTTATAAAAAACGCAGTATTTATTTTGGAAATTAAGAAGGTAAGCAAGAATTATTTCCAAGGTATTAAAACTTTACATACATTTTTAGTAGCTGCACTTCAAAAAAAAAAAGTGCAGATATAAAGGAGAAAACTTCACTGTTGTAAATACCTATTTCTTGAGGAAGTGCACAGCATTTTAATATCAAAACATTTAAATTAAACTTTCACAAATCTCTTATCTGGAATCCAAGTACAATGAGGAATTTGGACGCATATTCTGACAGTCTGAGTTTGGTTCTTGGAATCTGAAAGTTCTGGCCCTGGTTTCGGTCCAACCACGATAGGACTTTGGATAAGGCACATACGCTTCCACAGTACAGATAAGATTGAGTTAAGGAACACAAACACTAGTTGTAATAGCCAAGTCCTATTAGGAGTCTAAGACCATTTAATCCTGAATATTTAACTATGTTCACTGACTCACTCGAATGTAAACATTCTTGTAGATTCTCTCTCTAGGAACTTGGCAAGCAAACAAAAATTTTCAGAACTCCACTTAGTATTTCCTCCCACTTGATCTGAGCATTTATGAATCTTGCCTGCTGAATCAAAAGTCTGTCTGGAGCTTCTTCCCCAAGGACTTGAACCACAAGCTTTGGAAATATTAGGAGGAAAAAGGCACAGAAAAAAGGACTTGCTGACATCTTTTAGGAAAAGAATCTAACCTTCTCTGATATTCTTGATTTCTCAGCAGTTTCCTAACAGAGTAGACATGAAATGATGCTAACTCGTACAAGCAATCTTGCAGGAAACAGACCAGTAATACTGACACTGTTATTCCTGGTGAATGGGTTACATTCCCTTTCTAGGAAAACTATTTTGAAAATTATCCTCCTTCTTCATGTACGGTGAAATGTCACTACTCCGTCCAGTGTTGGCAATTCAGCTAATCATTTATTCTCCCATTCATGCAGCATTTGCTATTACCAAGAAATTGCAGACCTTGAGAAACAGTAAGTGGTTGGTTGTAAAACTGCTAACTCCAGCTCAAGTCTTCTCTCCTTCCCCTCTCACTCCGTGACACCAGACTGTGACTTCTCGGCTCCTCATGC